TCACAGGTCACTCAAAAGACTGGGGAGTGGAAGATACCACGTTATTTGGAACAGTTAATAATTTGTGCAAAGTATTATAGTGAAAAACAATATATACATGCCTTGTGTATTTTTGTAAAGGCTATTGAAAAGACAGGGAATGCTTGCCTCAACTATTATACTAAAAACATTTGTCACTGAATTTCTCTTCCCTAATGCGCTGTTTTCATGAAGCCTGGTTGGACACAAGTATACAAGTGTCCCAGACAAAAATAATCATGAGCGAGCACATTTATAATAATATATCTTTAATTTGAAATTTTCCTTTCTGTGACTTTTTTAACAGAATTCTCCTTCAAATGTAATAGTTCTAACGTGATTGTCTTACACAAACCTCAGGGTTTAAACCTCAATTCCTTCGTTAGGTTTTTATTCTGCATGCTATTATTACTTCTTAAGGACCAAAAATCCTTATATGCATTTGCTGTTGCTTCAGCAAGAAACATATATTTTACTCTCACCCTTAAATAAATTTATTTTATGATTTCATAAATTATGTTAAAATGCATTTTTAACTATAATGACCCAAGAATCATACGATTCATATCACCAACACATTTACTAGTACAATCAGATAGTGTTGCCCACCGTAATGTGTAGGCGAGACATTCTTTATTTCATTGTTGATGTTGCCACATATATTGTATTCATACCTTTTTGATTGAAATTAATTCGGAAATGAAACTTTCATATGCTATTTACATCATTCATCTAGGTAAATTTCACAATTCATCACAATTCGATTCACAAAAATTTTGACTACTCTACTTGTTGAGGTTAATAAATTTCTCTCATGGGTAGGAGTGAATTCATGCAGAACGCGTGGTCGCACGCAGCTCTGGAGCTTTTGTCCTTTCCTCCATACCAACGAATTTTTCGAGGATTTACAAGCAGTATGCGCTGTCACAGCCTATTGGGCCTTGGGACCATTCTCTAAAAGCTACACAATTAATTTCTTTTGTGGATTGGAGGAGAGTTCAAACCAAACGTGTTGCCACACGCTATTTAGTGGGTTTCCAACGTACAAATGAATTTCTCCTGTAAACAGAAGGGGAGTGTCTATCAGAATGCGTTGCCCAACATAGCGTTACTTGCGTGCTAAATGATTTCTTCGTGCGAGCAGGAGGTTGAGCTTCGAGCAGAACGCCTTAACACACGTACCGATTCTGGCCGGCTCTTCAACACCTTCGGAAGCTGTCCTTCCGGCCCCAACCGCATCTCCCGCGTGGAGGACGGCGCCTTCCCGCTCAGCTGCCGCACGCTGCAGATGCTCGACCTCTGGGCTTCAAACCTGCTCACCTCCATCTCGCTGGCGCTCTGCAACCAGTCTGTGGTGAGTGCACACGCAGTGAGCACTTATTTACTTGGGTAGCACTTGGGATTGCTATCGGGAGACTGTTCCTAGGCAGTGCTATGTACAACTATGTACAACCGTACTACCGTCTATGATCATCAATTGGCTTCTTTCAGCAATACTTTGCTCAGACTTCATTCCAATTCTAGTCCCAGCAACAGCCGGCAATATCTTTCCGAGGATGGAAGCACATAAGTTTACATTACGCCGGAATATCTAGGAAGAAATATTGCCAACATCAGAAACATTTATTGCCAGCAATGTTTAATTGGCAACTTTTCTTTCTCGCAGTAAATTGCTCACCATTTTCGTGCAAGTGTAAAGCCAGTTTTTTAGTTATGTCTAGCAATTTGGTTGGGAGAAAAATGAGATTCTCGCTTGGGCGAGATGTTTTCGGAGGGATTAATTTTGCCGGGCATCTCCCAAGGTTCTTTTTCATGCCACAAGTGTTTCGCCCTTCGAAATTCCACGCACCTCGGCCGGGATCGAAACCAGCGCACTGGGGTTCAGCAAGCCAGTAAGCTAGCCCCTCTCCCATCGTTGCACGCTCATAAGACGAGTTGGGGGCAGCCGTGTGTGTGTGTGCATGTGCTGTCGCCGGCAGGCGGCGCTCGAGGGAGGCGCCTGCGGCGCTGAGAGGAGCTGAGGGTGCTCCGCCTCACCTCCAACGCCTGGACGTCGCTGCCCGGCAACTTCTTCGCGTGGGTGCCGCCAGCTGCAGGAGCTGTCGCTGGCCGGGAACGCCCATGCGCTTCCCTCGACGTCCGCCCGGTGGCGGCCCTGGGCTCGCTTGGCCGCGCTGGAGGAGCTCGACCTCTCGCGCATCGGGGCTGCGCGCGCTGCCCGACAACATGCTCCGCAGGCTGGCCAACCTGCGCGTGCTGGACCTCAGCGGGAACGAGCTGACTATGGTGCCCCCTGCGTTAAGCGAACTGCAGCAGTTGCGGGTGCTGACGCTCTCATCGAACCCCATTCGCGCCCTGGAACTGGGGTAGGTGAATTTATATCCAACTATACGAAATCAGAGCGCGTATGTTTCACAAAGACATTTGAGGTATTGGGGAAGTACAATCTGTGGAGGGTTTTTTGAGCCCAGGAATTCTTCTCCTGCTATTGCATAGTGGCTGTTCGCCGGGTGAAGTACGTGAAGGGTTGCCTTAGCTTCAAATGACCATGATAAGGTGTCAATTTGTATTCTATAATATAATTAATAGCGTTCCAGATAGTGTAAAATTTGAGCAGCCGACGCTAGTTAAAAACTTGAATTGCTCGTTTTTGGTAATTATTACTTACGGTTTAACGACGCGCTTCGAAATCTATTGTTTTTAATAGCAATTCAAGTTGACATAAGGATACAAATTAAAAATCGACTTTGTCACTTTAAAACGTGGTGCTATTTGAACGACGTCTGGAGGAAATACGATGCGGTAGTGCGCGCGGTCGGTTTTGCAGTTTGAATGGCAAGGAGCCGTAATCGCCCTTGCTTGTGTACGATGTTAATAATGAATAATAAATAAATTTATTCAAACTGCAATTGAGTATAACCCGGTGGCAGCTAATTACATAAATATGATAATTATATAACATGCAAATTATACAGTAATAATAATAATAATAATAATAATAATAATAATAATAATTTAAAAACAGACTGATTCATATAACATTAAATTATTTTAAAAAATGGTTCTATATTCTAACTCCGCACTGAATGTTTGTTCAATTAAGACCACACTGAACTGGCACTGCTCTGCACTGCACTGCACTTCTCTTCACTTCACTTCCACTATGAACCTTAGATCACTTCCTCGTTTACTTAGTAATACCCTAAATTAATTTTCTGAAGTGTTGAATGCTTCCAGAAAAGGGTCTAAAGGGTTTTACAGGCAATCTATTCCATTCTTTTATCGTTAGATTTATGAAAGTATATTTACACCACACGCAAGCGCTCGTATGCGCGCTGGAGATCTGCAGATTCGAGAAAATTGGAAAGTGTTTTGTCTTTTTTGCACTACAGATTTAGAAATGAGCTTCAACTCCTTTTCATAATACAGGCTTACAGAGCGGGATATTTTAACAGTACGAACCTACAGTATGTGTTACTTCTACGAAAATGCAATTGGATCGAATTAAACATGTTCAGATTACTGTTTTTTTAATACTTCAGGTCTGCAGAACGTGTTACTTTTACGTGATTACAATTGGATAAACAGATAGTGGTCTTTGTAATGACGGTGTGTTACATACACTAGCCAGAATCAGAACCACGTATATTTATTAATTCCGCTTATTCAAGTGCACATATTCCAAGATTTTCTGTAAGAATTGCGCAAAGATATCTTAATCTGATTTATCTCCCAAAAGAACAGCTGTCACATGATAGAAGAGATTATGGCGCTTTTAGTATTCGTCATTAATGTTTTCGATTGTCTTCTGATGATCGATTTCGCTTGAATGGATTTATTCCCTGTAATTTCGTCTCTAATCCGTTGACTTGTGCACTCTCTATTGCAAAAACATATCTCACGTGACGTTCTTGACCAGTCTGAATTTGTTAAGCGATTGCAGGGCATGCGACGTTTTAAGTTGATTCTTAAACATATCGAAATCTTTACTAAATAGGAAAGAACTGTTAGAAAAATCGACAACATAAAAAATGTCCTTTACGACTGAAAGTTCATAATTTAATACTTTTAAATGCAAATAATACCCTAGAGATGCGATGTCAAATCTAGAGATGAATGATGAATGAAAAGTTCTTGATACGATTCCTGAATGTTAATTTGAATTTTTTTTTTGATTTTTACTTTTTACGTATGGAGTGGAGAGTTACGTAATACTGCGCGAAAAAAACGGTGAATTTTTGGAAGAAAACTCTTATGAAAGGTCTGTGGTAATGAAAAAGTGGACAAATTTAGTTGTCAAATTTAGAAAAAAATTTTCTACCACATGGTGTAACTAGAATCCGTATTTCGTGGGTCCTTGATACCGAAAAATCGAATGACAGCAATACATCTTTCCGTCCGTCAGTCCATGTGTAAACAAAGCTAGAGGCTAAACCGTTAAGCCGATTTTCTTCCAAATTAATATTCCGAAATTGACCTGGCTTGAGTCGCGGCTCCTTGAATTTGAAACCGAAATTTTTTTAAATGAAGTCCCTGAAACATTTTCTTAATTTTCTAAAACAAAGATCCATCGTTTTTGATTAAATTTTGTATTTGAATAGTGTGAAGGACGTTTGGGAGAAGGACTGAAGGAAGCACGCGTGTCTCATGTTCGTTGAATACCCTAATTTTTCTATAATTATAAAAGTTCAAAATTATGTTGGAGTCTTCCTACAACTAAAATATCAAATAGAAATATTTTTTTCTTTCTAATAAAATCTGTTCCTTAAAGATATGTTTTGAAATACGGTCATGGAGAATTTTTGGAAAATTTGAGTATGTTTCGCGTAATTTTGATTGAAAATACGGGCGAGAGTGTCCGAGCAGTTTTTGCACCACTAGTTTTATATTGGTATTCCTCATTTCGTCATTGTTCCATCCACACATTGATCGTCACCGTTCATTCCAGGTCTTTTGCTGGATCGCTGGCTTCGGTTCATACCCTCGTGATGGATGACATGCGCAACCTGACGCGAGTGGCGAAGCACGGCCTGGCTGCCCTGACGGGGCTGCGCTCCCTCGTCCTCAGCCACAGCCCGGCGCTGCAGGAGATCGACCCGGAGGCTTTCCACGCGTTGTCCGCGCCCCTCGACTACCCGTCGCTCAAGCAGGTACTCTAGTGGCCCGCAAAACGAGCTCTTAAAGCAGAAGGCAAATTGCAACACTGGGAATTTTGCACGCTTCAGATCTTGAGGATTCCGTCACGTCTGATATCACAATGTAAAAACTTGAATTCGTATACTTAGCTTTTATTACTGAGTGATCTTATTTAACCTTTGGGAAATTCATGTCAGGATTAGACGCTTATTAAACAATTGGCAATCTTGAGCTAAATATTACAACGGAAAAATAGTGCCAATATAACTACATGGAATTAAACCCGTTTTAACTCTTACGCCCACAGAAAGAACTTACACACATTTGAATTTACAGTTATACAAATTTCCGGTTATACGTAAGTTTGTCTATCTGGAACGCGTACTCTTTAGAAAACACAATAAACGCGTTCTCAAACTAATGGGAGAAGCATCTGTTATCATGGACAAAATCATCTTTGTTGAAATATTCACAATTTATATATCAACATAATAAATCTCATGAAATGACACTGTGCATGAACACAGTTTTGTACAAATAACAATTCTAAATCAAGTTTAATTTGTTGCAAAGAAAAAGATAAACTTTTATTACAATTAGCTTTTACAAAAACCAAGGAACTTCAATTGCTTCACAGGGTGCTGGATTCGCAATCGGGGGGTCCGGGTTCGACACCTGGGTCGACCATCCTGACCGCGGTTTCTGGTGATTTCTTGTCATAAGGCGAATGCAGGAGTCACTCCAAATTCCACGAACACCTCCCACCATCCTCCTAGTCCTTTCACCCCTCATCATTACCTTATCACTTCAATAATAATAATAATAATAATAATAATAATAATAATGTGTGTGTCTTAGTATTTTTGTGTGTATCTATTTAATCATCACCATCATTTAACCTAGGGCTTACAACCTTGGGGTGTAAAAATCGAATCAGCATTGAATGCTTATCCCCCGAATAGAAAATTAACATGTCCCGATTATCATGAAGGAACCCAGACGGGATGCACATATCGCATGGACCCATGTTGGTCAATTCGAAAAACAAAAACAAAAAAAAACAAAACAAAAAAAAGGAAAGAAAGTAAAAAGAAAATAAATTACTCTAACCACTTGAGATACTAAGACAGTCAACTCTTCTACAAAGGGGCGATAGTCAACTTAGTCAACACTCTTTAGGGGATATGGACCCATGTGACGGTTATATTGTTTTAGAAAGAAAATGTACCACCTGGTCACAGTCGTACGTTGTAAGTTTCGGCCAATGTCGAAAAGACCGCAGCTCAAGAGGTTAGAGCAAAAGATGCAAAGGGACATTAACTGGCCGTAGGGATATAGAAAGACATCTAAGTTGTTCAGAGAGTGAAGTAATTTCGTTTTCTGTTGGATCTTTATCTACGAAACGTCAGTTTTGTTGTGCTTTGCACTTTCCATGTGAGAGAAATTCCGCAAACACGTTTATCATGTGTTGCTTAAATGGAAAAATAAGTTTGCCTTCGAGCCTATCCGCAAATATTCCAAAACAAGTATTAATTTAAAGAAGTGATCTCTTTATTCTTTCTATTTGAGGATCTGCTTTGTGAACATTAGTCTGGGTACAGTATTTTACATTTTTCTGAGATTTCACGATCAAATTTTGACGGGTTTCTTCTCATTATTGTAATGAATAAATTTGTTGTTTACCGCAGAATATATGTAATGTACCTCAAATATTTAAAGGAAAAGATATAAATGGATATACACAGACGAATAAATGTAAATACAGAGAAAGATATTCTCATATAATTAGATCAGTAAATCGACCCCCCTCACAGACACACATCCTTTCCTCACCTATTCTTTCTTAGTTAATCTCCAAGACGGGCCAAAGTACAAAATGACTGTTTAACAGCCATATTTTGTACCACGCTACTTGGTGAATAGTTCATTTGATTTTATTTAGCTGTATTAATTTATTTTATTCTTTTACAACGAAGAATAAAGTAAACTAATACAGTTAAATAAATCAAATAAAACTATTCATCAAATAGTTAATATTTCTTCCTTATTACATTTTTACACTTCTGTATATATCTTTGTTTTCCTTTGTATATCTGATAGGGAGCACTGAAGATGAGATTGATTAACTTCATTGATTGAGTTGATGTCCGCATCAACATGATATGCAAGTAATAACATTCCCTTCAGTGTTATTATCGAATAAATGTGGTGTCCGAACTCTCGCGTGTAATAATTAGCGAATGGAAAAAATGGGTATTTACGAATTGGAATGTTTTTTCTGAAAAATGATCTGAATTAGTGTTGTAAACATTAAGCTTCATTATACAAGACGTTATTAATAGCATTCTGTTGAATCTTGATTAGGAACGTACTTTTGCAGTTAGTGCTTCGTGGAAACGGACTGCATACTCTACATCAAAACCTTCTGAAAACCTGGGATTCTTTGGAAGTGCTGGATCTTCGGGACAATAAATGGCTATGTGACTGTCGTCTAAGGTGGATAGCCGCATCGATTGTCAAAAATAGGAACTACTCCCGCCTAGATCACATCACGTAAGTCTTACAACTGAAATTTCTTCGAACATGGTAAATTTATCACAATTATGATAATATTTTTCACACAAGTCTTTTTGAAATTAATTTTGTTTTGCGTCACATTAACAGTAAAGTTATTATCTGCTGCAAAACGTATACATTTAGTTTTGATTTGTTTAAAACACTAGTATTTAACCAATATATTGTCACTCTTCATGCTGTTCATAGAATGTTTGTGACATTTACTTGTGGTCATGTTAAGTATGTGTTCTGGCATACGCTAGTACGACTTTCACTTTTGAGTTCAACTATTCAATGTGCGAGAATCTTTGTCAGTGTGCGTGTGGCAAACAAATATACTTCACATATTTTTAATGACATCACACTCTTTTTTGATGATTTTTATAATATTCTGTATTAAGTTTTTTAAATTTTATGATATTTCTTGCAATTTAGCATCATTTTTTTACCCACTATTAACACCTTGCGCATTTACTACAGAGATCTTGAGTGCATTTACTTACAATAAACTAGCACGTGTGTCTGGAGACCTGGCGGGTTTCTCAGAGTTTGTCCCAGCTAGGGGAGTGCCCAGCTGAGGGTCATACCTAGGAAGGGAAGCAACTTGCAATTTGACGAGTAGGTCGGTTTCGGGTCGCAAATTCCTGTGGGGGAACACCTACATCTCTCGGGATATGACATGCACTGCATTTACGGGAGTAATGACCTCAGTAATAGACTCGCCCGGAATCAATGCTTTCTCTTATTGGGGGTAGAGGGACGACAGTTATGTTTTCTAACTTGACATAAAATAATTATTTTTTATTTCACCCAATCCCAAAAAAGTTTATCGTTTGATTACGGCACACTTATGTCATTCACACTCCCATTTTTAAGGAAAGTGTTTCAGATTTCTTGCAAAAAAAAGTTTTTCGCGCACTAAATTCAAAATACTGTTTTTTTATTTTAAATTTGTCTGTTACAGCTGTGATCAACCCCAAGAGATTCGAGGACGTGATATTGTGTCACAGCCTGTACTTCTTGAGCTGTTTACTTGCGCTGATGCTCGATGGTTTGACCCACAACCTGATATCAAGAAAGAATTAAACACAACACGAATTTTCTTTAAAGGAGTAGGTGTTGGAATTGTTTTCTCGACTTTGATTGTATGTATAATCTTGATAGCCAGGTATGCTACGCTTGAAAATTGTAATGTCCAAGGTACGTTTGGGTGTTTTTCAATCCGATGTAATGATTCGACAAAAACAAGGACTGAAGAACCTGTTGCGAATCAAGCAACTACAACGCCTGTTTCGAATAAAGCAACTGCAGCGGCTGTTTCAAATCAAGCAACTGCAGCGCCTGTTTCAAATCAAGCAACTGCAGCGCCTGTTGTAAACGAATCCACAAGAAGCGCCCAAGTGATTGAGAGAAAAATTTCTATTGCAAATGTAAGTTGTACAGATGTATAAAATATATTGACCATTCATTATATATTACATGAATATTACTGTTCTATTAATTAACTGGGTAGTCAATTTAAATAGAGAATCAAGACAACAGGAGAAATATCCATTGCCCAAAAAGTAATACAATGTCAATATTTTGGCATGGCCTTATTTTGACGTCAACAAGTGAAATTCCACATATTAATAGCGAATTGGTATTCTTTTGCAGAAAAAAACTTTTGTCTAAAACTTTTCTATTTGTCAATGCAAAAAAACCTTCCTAGATTTAGATTATTTTATGTTTAGTACGTATTAGCACCTCTTCCGGAAACGTTGTCTTTATACAACAGATGATTTTAATGATGACTTTTGAATTGAATTGAGTTGAATTGATGTCTTATTTTACGTGGCGAGACTCGAGCCATCAGGGCCGCCCTTCCGTCTGATCACGCTAATGTCGCTACGGTCCTTTCACCAATTAACAGAGAAAGGAGATATTTCATACGCGACGGAACAGGCGATTTTAATTTAGCTCAGTGGTGTCATTTAGGCTTGAGGACCTTTTACATGCTGTAAATCTACTAACATGGAACAGCCGGCTTTACTTCCCCTCCGAAGAAGGCTTTGATCGAGTTTGAAGCCGCCAACTTGGGTATAACCGTCCGATGCGTTGACACCATCGTCTCCACCATGGAATGACGATAGGGCATGTTGACTGACAAAAATTACAGGTGACCTATTTCTAACTTATTTTAACATCAATTTTACTTTCTTTCTACCGCAACTGCGGTAGGGAAAAATTTACGTAATACTGCCCGAAATAACGACGAATTTTTGGTGGAAAAAACTTTCCTTACAGGGCCCTGGTAACGAAAATGTGGTTACATCCAGTTGCTAAATGTAAATAATATTATCTAGCTCGTGTTATATCCTGTCTCCATATTTTGTGGGTCCTTGATACCGAAAAATCGATTGACGACAAAACGTCTTGCGATCTGTCAGCCGATTTTCTCCAAAATCGATGGTCATCAATCGATGTGGCTGATATCATGACTCCTTGACTCTGAAACCGATATATTAATTTTGGGGTACTTTTCATCAAGCTCCTGGGTTATTTTCAAAATACAATAAAATGGCTCTAGCGATTTTGACTAAATTTGTTGGTTGGTAGTCTAAAGAACGTTAAAGAAAATGGTGTAGGTCTCATGTTGGTGAAACCCTTATTATTTAAAAAAACGAAAAAATTTAAAATCTATTTAGCGTCTTTCTACAATTACAGTTCTGAAGATACACTTTTTTATTAATTAATGTGTTCATCAAAAACAGATCTTCAAATAAGATCAAGTTCTATTTTTCAAAATCATGAGTATTTTATGCGAATTTTTGTGTCAAACATAGGCAATTTTTATTTTCTTTAAACAGTGTTTTTTCTAAAAACCGCCCAACGTTTTTCGATTAAATTTAAATATTAGAGAGTATTAATGACGCTTAAGGGAGTGGTGTAGGTTTCACATTCGTTGAAATGCCTGATTTTGCGAAAAAATATCGGCCTCTTCGTACAAGTACAATTGTGAAGATAAATACACAGATATTTAAAGAAGGCCACATTGAATTTTCAGTATTTTTTGTGTAATTATGTGAGGAACATAATAGTCCGTTCCCAATTGACTGCGCTTCGTGTACGTCATCCTGGCCATTTGGATGCTTCATAAGTTAGAATTTGTTTTTTTCATATTTCTTTGTTCGTGTCTTACATTCGAAGTTTTCTTATACATTTACATATTAATCGTTTAGAAATTATTTAAACTTATTTGAAATACTGCTAGCTTGCAGGGAATATGAGATTGGAGTTCTGCAATGACTCTGAAGCTCATTTTTGTGAATTATATCTTATTTGTTGGAACATAATTCACCTGTATGAAAAACAGATATAATTGTCAAACTTGTGTTGTCTTTTGCTTGAAAACATTTCGTTTCTGCATTAATTGTTGTACGATTTGTAAGGAGCAGAGTTGTCCAGTTGTACATTAAAATGTTCACTAATACCTGTTGAATGGCTGTTTCCCTACGCAGTTTTTTTACATTCGCCAACTATGGGTTTATTGTCTGATGATTTGGTTAAAAAATCAGTCGTTATAAAAGAAAACTCCAATTTTTTTGCTAGACATATTTTTGATATCTTTTTAGTTCTGAAAATGTTTATACATATGGTTACAATTCATTACAATAGTTATTGTTCAGAATTTTGTATAACTAACAATTACTAATTTACTGCAATTGACAACATAATGTTAGCCAAAATTTAATATATTTACATACTATTGAGTACAATTGTTCAATTGTACAATTGTACAACAAGTGGCATCAGTCAACTGTTTTCATATTTCCCTACCCACAATTCTCCCGATTCAGGTAAGTTATGCATCGTACATCACGCATTGTATCGAATATTGCAATAACAAGCAATAACATGCAATAACGTCATCATCATCCTTAATTGCGAAAAATGCCTATTTTCTGCCGCCATGACATTCTGTCCTCCGCTGACGTCTTCACCTCTGCATAATTTTTGAATTGCAATTCAGTTTGAAGTTGTTCTAAAATGTTTATTATAGGTCTCCCTCTTCCTCTTGTTCGACTATTTTACAGTGAGAAATTGCATTTAAGAATAGGTTATGCCTAAAAATGTGTCCAAAGAATTTTGCTTTTCTGTTACAAATGGTATTTAATAGAGAACTATTCTCTTTCACCTTTTCTAAAATTACATTATTTGAAAGTTTTGAAGTGCAAGAAACCTTCAGTATTTTTCGCCACAACCATATCTCGCGAGCTTTTAAAAGTCGCCCTTCCGTTTTTAAAAGCCAATAACGTATTAGAAATGTAAATTGACTAGTGGCATGCAGCAGCAAAATTACTGCGGACGAGTGTGTGGGGTTCTGGAACAGCAAAAAATGGCTGTTCTGAAAGATTACAAGTAAGCATTGAAGCTTCTTACTTCCTCGTCGCATAATGTCAGCTGTGTCGTTTGCAGTAACGTAGAGAGTAAGAGAAAATAGCAGTAACATCAGGTAGGAGAATTTCCAGAAAAACACTTTTTTGCATTTTTCAATCAAAATGAAAACTGTAATTTTTATTTTTTTACTGAGTTCTCGGGTAACTAACGAAATTATACACTCACATGTCCGGAGTCTCCATAGAGATCTTTCGATTTTTTCGCGCAGTGCAAAGCCGAAATAAAGTTGCTGAAAATCAACCATTCTTTTAATTTTATTCACAAATGTATTTCTAGGCGATTGTCATTTTAAACAACGCAAATAAAGGAAAGTATACCGTTAATTCTTAGTCACAAAACGTAATTAAAAGAACTGGTTAGAATAAATTCTACCACTTATTCCTAAAATTATTAATAATTTTAAGAATGACTATAAACAAATTAACTTTAACATCAATATAAGAAGTTCAATAACATAGAAAGAGAATTTGATGAGAAATATACGAAATAAAATCCCGT